GAAAGAACAGTGACAATGGACACACCAACTTCACTGTGTCCGTTCTGACTTACAGGGACCCTACAAAGGGTTTCTGCAATCTTAAACCTTTATGTGAGCAGTCTCTTTTTCCTCCCGTGGAGCAGCTAGTGGGTTTGAACCACCGACGTTGTGGTTAGCAGCCCAGTGCTCATCTGTCAGTTACAAGTTGATTGCCTTTTAGTATTAGTGGCTGTAACTGCCATTTAGAAATCATTTCTTAAGTTGAAAGAACACGGGCTTTTGGGTCAGATATTTCTTATCCAGATAATTATCTACTATTACGAGCCACTGTCCCCATGCATCAGTCAGTTTGTTGTACTGTGGTGGCCTGCCTGTTGCGTGATTTTGAAAGGTCGCCACTAGTATTTCAACTATCAGCAGGATCACCCCTGGTGCATAGGTTTCAGTGGAGCGTCCAGCTAAGAACAGACTAGGGAGAGAGAAGGCATACGCTCCCCCTGTCTGAGGAATCAGCCACTGACAACCTTATAGGAGCAGTGGAACATCATGCCGGGAGACGGGCTTGTTCAGACCGGAGAGCACATAAAATACAACCAGGAGGAGTCGCCTCAAAGTAGAGCTGATGTTATTTGTGATGAGAAGAAACAATTGCAAACAGCCATTACTAATCAAAATGTGAAATTTACAAAGCATGAACAGGAAAAGTAGAAGTCCTCAAAAAAGCAATAGAACATATAAGTATCTTAAGGCAGGAGTGAGCTGAAATGGACTGATGTCGGCCACTTTAAAACGGACAATCGTATGGTTTACTATGCTGGGGATGACATTCAAGAGGAGTGGTATCACATTCATCAAAAAGAACATGTCAAGATCTATTTTGAATACAATGCTGTCTGTGATAGGCTAATATTTACACATCTACAAGGAAGACCGGTACATACAACTACTATCCAAATTTACACACCAACTATTAAAGCCAATGATGAAGGAATTGAATAATTCTATGAGCTGGAATCTACTCGATGGCAGTAAGTTTGATCTGAGTCTTCAGTCTGAAATTGAGAAAGCACGCAATCAAGATGAATTGGTAATTATTGGTGATCGGAATGTGAAAGTTGGAAACAGGAAGTTGGAAAATATAGCCTTGGGAATAGAAACAAAGCTGGAGCTCAAAGGATAGTGTTCAAGATCAATGACTTCTTCATTGCAAATTCCTTTTTTCAGCACCGTGAATGGAAACGATACACATGGAACTCCCCAGGTGGAATAAACAGGAATCAAAGTGACTACATCTGTGGGAAGAGGTGATGGGGGAGGGTCAATATCATCAGTCAAAACAAGGTCAGGGGCCAAGTGAATAGACCATCATCTACGCATATGCAAGTTCAGGTTGAAATGGAAGAAAATTAAAGCAAATCCAAGAGAGCATCAACAAGGAGACGCTGCATGGTTTAAAACCACGGCAGGCATCATGATGGCATTTTTCACATTTGTTCAACTGTGGGCTGAGCAAATAATTTGAGAAGCTGGACTCATGAAGAATGCTGCATCAGGATTAGAAGGCTCATAGCAATCGATGACGTGTGGATGACAGAACCTTGCTTACTGAAACAAGGACTTGAAGCCCTTACTGATGAAGATCAAAGACTACAGCCTTCAGTATGGATTACACCCGAATGTAAAGAAAATAAAATCCTCATAACTGGACCAAGAGACATCATGATAAATGGATAAAAGATTGAGGTGGTAGTGGATTTCATTTTACTTGGGCCCACAAGCAACACTCCAGGAAGCAGCAGTCAAGAAATGAAACGATGTATTGCATCGTGAAAACTGCTGCACAAGAATTCCTTCAAGTGCTAAAGAGCAGAGGTGTCACCAGAGGGCTGAGATGTGCTTGATCTAAGCAGCGTTCATTTCAGTGGCTTCATACGCATATTCACGCAGGATGATGCCCAGGGAAGACTGCAGAAGAACTGGTGCCTCTGAAGAATGGTGTTGAATATTGAAAGCACCGAGAACTGCCAGAACAAATCTGTTTTGGAAGAAGCACAGCAGAATGTTCCTTAACTGGCACGGGAGACTTCATCTTGCAGACTTTGGACAGCTCTCAGGAGAGACCAGTCCTTAGAGAAGGACCTATACTGAGGATGAGGCTCAGTGAGAGAGAGGAAGACTCTCCATGAGTGGATGGTCTCAAACTCCCCAACAACTGTGCGGATGATACAGCTTATGGCAGCGTTCTGTTGCACTTGAGGCTGCTGTGAGTCAGGGAAAATGCGATGGTTCCTAAAAAACCCAGAGCCTTGACTGAGCGAACTCGGCCTAGTTTTCAGACACTAAGATGCTTGCCTTGTATTTTTTTCATTAAGTGTCCCCAACATGCTTAAGAAAGTACAAATGGGAACCCTGTGTTCACAGACGAGGAAAGCAACCATCAGAGCGATCAAGTGAATGCCACCAGGTCACCCAGCTGTTCAGAGGCAGAGGCAGGTTCAATCCCCGTGGTCTGGACCCAGGCGCCAAACATCTCAGTCCCACGTACAGGCACGGACCAGCTGGGTGCTTTGGGTCAGAATGTATTTCCTGCTCTGGGCTCCAGCTACTTCACCACCACGAGTTGCCACTTCCAACTCACGATGACCCCTGTGTGTCCGATAGATCTCTGTACTATAGGATTTTAAGTGGTGAGTTTTTTAGAAGTAGATAACCAGGCATTTCTTCCAAGGCACCTCTGGGTAGATTTGAGCCTCTCCCACATTTTGGTGAGCAGCTGAGCATGTGTGCGCCCCGGGACTCCTGGATCACCTTGGGTGGGTGGGTCAAGGATGCTGTCTCCAGAGGTTCTTCTTAGACTTCCCTTCTCGCTTCTTGAGCTAACTTCAGAACTCTTCCAAGTTAAATGGTCTTACATTTATTGGAGGAAAAGTGTGTTTACGACCCATAAAGTGCACACAGTGTCGCAACAGTAATGAGTGGCACAAGAAGCAAGATTGCCCCGACTGGTGGTGCCTGTTCCCCCTGTGTTTCTGAAGGGCTTAGCACCTATGTTAGTTAACGAGCAGCCACCCTCCTGCTTTCCTGGTCATTCGGTCTTAGAGCAGTTGTGGAAGGGCAGGCTGGTGAGCCTCCGAGTGCAAGATGGGCACTTCTTCAGATCATGCCACAGGAGTGTGACACAGATTTCTACCTGTAGCTCCAGGAGGCTGAGTGTCAGACAGAAATACGTAGGTCCAAGACCTGGACTGACAACAAATGATCTCACCCTACAATGCCTGTTAACAGCCCGTGCGCCTCAGAAACCCCAGCTCCTGTTACCGAGTGCCACCGCACTCCTCAAAGTAGGTCAGCTGCTCAGCCTCTCCCTGCTGGCTCTGTACTCAGATCTCTGATTTGAAGTCACACACAAGGACAGTCCCCGCAGCTCGACCCTGTCTAGCTATACAGCGGATGAGGCATGACTGATCATTCGGATAGCCTCTTGAGCTTATGTTCATCTTTAAGCAGGCAGGGGTGATTTTATGAAAATTTTAAGCCTATTTATCTTGTCCAGAGGTTATCAGCAACCCTCAACGTGAGTCCACGTGGCAGAGGTTGTATGGTCAGACACTCACTCTACCACTGCTGCGTCAGCACAGCATTCTTTTGCCGTGAGGACCGGGAATGGCATGCCGAGAAGAGCGGGGAACGGCTAAGTCACAGAGGCCTTCATTTCTCCTTCAGAAGGAAAAGCAAAGACAGCTAACAAAACTTTCCAAATGTGAAGAATTTTCTCTCCCCAAACTCCATTTTCCACCCTCTGCGGGTATAAGGATGTTGTCTGTGCCCTCGTCTTCTTCTCCCTCCCTGGATCCCCTGAAACCATGCAGACGATAAAGCCTGGTCTTTTGATCGCCCAAGAGTGTCGAGGGCTACTTCCAGTCTTCTGGTGTATCCTTGCAAGTTGATAGGTCCTTTGGGATAAAATCCTCGTCCTTTTCCTAGGTCTTCTTCATTTCCCATTCCTGAAATAGAGAGACCAAAGAGATCATCTTTACTGAATAGTTTAGTGTTACCTGTAGGATAAAGGAGCCCTGGTGATGTAGTGGTAACGCATTGGGCTGCTTAACTATAAGGTCAGCCGTTCGAAACTACCAGGTCCTCTGAGGGAGAAAGGGCTTTTTACTCCAGTGGTAGTTACATAATC